CACACTGGCTATGGTTCATGTGTGCCTGACCAAATCTACTGTTACCTTTCTTCACTCGCAAAGATTGACATGGCTTAAGGCTTCACACTGTACAGTTTCTGCTTCCCTGTGCTTGATAGTTCACCCAACTAATACTCCCCACTGCCAAGTATTAACTTATTTTGTTGAAGAGTAAAAGAATTCTTACACAGCAATGTGAGATTAAAATATCTGAGTACAAACAGAACCGTTTCTATGGTAAACAAAGTACACAGGGGAAGCAAAAGTAAAGAATAATACTTTAAACTTTAAAAATAATTTTATACCACCTAAGTTCCTTTTATTTTTGACACAGCTAGTATTTGAAATACTGGTGGCATAGCTTTCAGCATTACAGCAATATGCAAGCCACCGCAATACGACAAATGATTAAGTGAATACTGAAATTGTCAAGGATTTCATTTTACTTGGGTCCACAAACAACATCCATGGAAGTAAGTCAAGAAATCAAACAATGTATTGCATTAGGCAAATGTGCTGCAAAAGACCTCTTTAAAATGTTAAAAAGCAAAGGTGTCACTTTGAGGACTAAGATATGCCTGACTCAAGTCACTGTATTTTCAATTTCCTCATATGCATGCAAAGTCTGGACAAAGAATTAGCAAGACTGGAGAATTGATGCATTTGAATTATGGTGTTGGTGAAGAATACTGAATACACCATGGACTGCCAAAAGAACAAACATGTGTCTTGGAAGAAATACAGCCAGAATACTCCTTAGAAACAAGAATGGTAAGACTTTGTCTCACATACTTTGGACATGTCATGGGGGGACCGGTCCCTGGAGAAGGGCATCATGCTTGATAAAGTACACAGTCACAGAAAAAGAGAAAGATCCTTAAGGAGATGGACTGACACAGTACATGCAACAATGGGCTCAAATAGAGTTAACAATTGTTAGCATGGTGTAGGACCAGGCGGTGTTTTGCTGTTATATATAGGTTCACTCAGACAGGACCTACTCAATGGCACCAAACAACAGCAACAACAAAGTTCATTTTAAGGAGCACTAGCAGTGCATTAGGAGCTCTGGCTGTGCAGTGGTTAACACGTTTGGCTGCTAACAAAAGGTCAGTGGTTCAAACCCACCAGACACTCCACAGAACAAAGATGAGGCCATCTGCTTCCGTAAAGATTTACAGGCTTGGAAACCCTACAGGGCTTGCTCTGAATCAGATTCAACTTGATGGAAGTGAATTTGGTTTGGTTTTGGTGGTGCATTAATTAAGCGCTAACCAGACCACTAGTGGTTCAAACCCACCAGCTGCTCCACAGCTAAAAGATGTAGTAGTCTGCTTCTGTAATATTACAGCCTTGGAAACTCTCTTAAGGCAGTTCTACTCTGTTCTATAGGGTCACTGTGAGTCAGAATTGACTCCATGAATTGAACCCACACCTGTGGTTTCCAGCCAAACAATGTACAGGCATGTGAGTTAAACATTTACCTCAAGTAGACACACATCCTGGAGAGAACAATCATGGGAGAAGGAAGGGCTGCTTATTATGCACAGGGAGACAGCTCAGGGCGCAGCAGAGTATGGAGGGGTGGACACTAGGAAGAGGTAACTATGGGAAGGAAGTGGGAGGTGAACTGTTGAATTGTGGTAAACTGTGGTCAATGACATGAGACAAAGTATATGTGAACTGCTGTATGGAAAGTGAATTTGCTCTGTAAATCTTCACCCAAATAAAAGAAATAAATAAATTAATAAAGAAAAAAAAAAAAAAAGAATTGACTCCATGGCAATGGAGTTTGGTTTTAAACTACATGAAACGTATTATATAGAGAGGCATAGCAAAGAATAATACAGGTTCTTTAGTAAAGATTCAATTTAGTTGCCTATGTTGTTGTTATGTACTGTCAAGTCAGCCCCGACTCATAGTGACCCTTCCTTGGGTTTTTGAGGCAGTATCACTATGGAAGTAGATTGCCCAACCTTCCTTCTGAGGAGTGGCGGTGGGTTGTTGTTGTTGTTATGTGCCATCGAGTCAGAACTGACTCATAGAGACCCCTTCTTGGTTTCTGAGGCAGTATCACTACGGAAGTAGACAGCCCCATCTTCCTTCCAAGGAGTGGCTGATGGGTTTGAACTGCCAGCCTTCTGGTTAGCAGTCAAGTGCCTTAGGCACTATGCTACCAGAGGCTGGTGGGCAGTTGAACTTAATTAGCTAAGTTCTTTAATATCTAAAAATCAGATATAATAAATTTTACATACATTGCAAAACCACAATAAAGGACTAGAAATTAAAACTAAATTATGATAGTAACTCTGCTTGTGCCATGGTATTAGTAAAAAAAGAAGTACAGAGATGAGACTTACTACTGCCCCCAATTACAATGATTTGGATAAAGGAGTAAGCATCTGGAAATAAAATAGGTTTAGCACCCTTGTCAGCAAAATTTAAATTATATAAGGTAAACTCTGAACAGTAAGGAGACGTTCTTTTCTTATTTGTTGGGTAGTTCTTTTTAAAAAATAACTATAAGAATACTTGTTCTTTTTAAATATTTTATTGAACTATAATTTATGTACCATGAAATACACAAAACTAAAGTGACATGGGTCAATGCATTGTTTTGTTTTGGATTGGTTTTTTGGCAGTGTTCCCTCCCCTCCGCTCCAACCTCTGGTAACCAACAAAGAAAGTGTCCTTCTATATATAAACCTTTCCTTAACTTTTTCAATAATGAACTAATACAGTTTTTGTCCTGTGATTGACTTATTTCACTCAGCATAATGTCCTCCAAGTTCACCTACGTTATGCAGTGTTTTGCAGATTCTACATTATTTTATTTTCTAGTGTTGCACAGTATTATTCTACAATGTGTATGCACCATAGTTTGGTTATCCATTCTTCTGTTGATGGGCACATAGGTTGTTTCCATCTTTTTGCTATTGTAAATACTGCTGCAATGAACATGGGTGTTCATCTGTCCTTGTCCTGGCTTTTAAGGGGCACTGGTGGTGCATAAAATGTCCTCACTTCTTTAGGATACATACCTAGTAATGGGATTGCTGGCTCAAATGGTATTTTTAATTCCAGCTTTTTAAGGAATTGCCATACTGCTCTCCACAGTGGTTGTATCATTGGACAGTCCCACCAGCAATGTATGAGAGTCCCAATCTCTCCACATCCCCGCCAGCATCTGTTACTTTCTGTCTTGTTGAACTGTACCTTTAGTGCTGGGGTGAGATGGTATCTCATTGTTTTGATTTGCATCTCTCTGATGGCTAATGATCGTGAACATTTCTTCATGTATTTGCTCTTTGGTGAAGTGTCTATTCATGTCTTCTGCCCATTTTTAAATTGGATTGTTGAGGTGTTGGAGTTTTCTATAAATTTTATTGAAAGTCCCTTGTCAGACATGTCATTGCCAAATACTTTGTCCCAATCTGTAGGTTCTCTTTTGACTCTTTTGGAAAAGTCTTTTGAAGCACATAAAAATTTAATTTTTAGAAGGTTCCATTCATCTAGGTTATCTTCAGCTATTTGTGCATTTTGGGTTATGCTTGACAGTCTATTTATGCCATAAATTTAGGGCCCCTAAATTTGCCACTCTGGTGGTATAGTGCCTAAGGCATTTGACTACTAACCAGAAGGCTGGCAGTTCAAACCCACCAGCCACTCCTCGGAAGTAAGACTGGGTAGTCTACTTCCATAGAGATACAGCCTCGGACACCCAAGGAGGGGTCGCTATGAGTCAAATCGACTCAATGGCAATTAGTTTGGTTTTTTAATTTAAATTTGCCCCTACTTTTCCTTGAGGAACTTTATAGTTTTAGGTTTCATATTTAAGTCTTTGACCCATCTGGAGTTAATTTTTGGGGTATGGTGTGAGGTACAGATCTTGTTTCATTTTTTTTGCAAATAGATATCCAATTTTGCCAGCTCCATTTGTTAAAGAGACCCCTCTTGCCCATTTAATGGATTTCAGCCCTTTGTCAAAAATCAGCTGACCATAGGTCAATGGATCTATTTCTGGTGTCTCAATTCTGCTCCAGTGGTCTATGTGTCTATTGTTATACCAGTGCCAGGCTGTTTTGACTACTCACGGCTGTATAGTAGATTTTGAGATCTGGGAATGTGAGACCTCCTACTTTGTTGTTCTTCTTCAATAGTGCTTTGCTTATATGAGGTCTCTTGCCTTTCCATATAAAATTAGTTATTGGTTTGTCCAAGAACACTTGCTCTTAAGTTTATAAAATCACAGTGACATTAATTTACAAATATAAAATAGGTAACCGTTTTAGTCAAATGAAAACATTAAATCTCAGTACAGTGTCCTTTCATTTTGTTTTATTTTGTTTAAAGAAAAACCTCAATTACTTTGGCTTATTCTCTTATTTAATTTTTATTATAGTTGTTGTGTATCTTTTCCATTAAAATAAAATTTAGGACCAAAATTAGCTGAAATGGAAAACCAACATATGTGAAGCACTGGTGAGTCTGTAAAAAAAGTATTTATCAGAGTCAACTCAGTTTTCATTTCTCACACCTTACTGCTGTCTGCAGGCTTTTCAATTACTTTCTCCTTTTCTTCACAAATAGAGGTTCTATACCAGGTAGAAAATGAACATGTTCTTTACAAATAGCAAAACAAAATTAAACCTTCAGAACAGCTACAAATGTACAATTCACCTTCAAATATTGGAAATACTATGCAAATTTATAGCACTGAGTACTTTTATTATAGAGGACTTAATAATTTACTAAATGACTTCCATCCTCATGGCATTTTTGTAAGATAATTTAATAAAACGAAACACAGTACGAACTTCTTTCAGTAGGGAAAAACAGATGGCTGAAGCTTTGAGAAGACAAAATTTACTACAGGGGCTGCTGCAACTGCTATCTTCTTTTCTCATTAACATATTCTAGAACAAGGACCATGATGCTGTGTGCTCATAAAGTCTTTCACTTGAAGATTTTGCAGCCTTTAATAAAACTCTGCAGCACTATTAATCCCACTTAGAAGTTTTCCTCCTCATGTAACTGTGTCCCTCACTATCAATAGCTTCATAGAGGTTCTTTTTATTCTCTTGTGTTGCATGTAGATAACCGATATAAGCCACACAAAGTGAAAGAGTTAGCAATCCAAAAGCCATTATCGATTTGCTCTGTCAAAGAAAAAAAAATTACAAAGCCTCATTAAAACGAATCATCTGAGGGGACCCAAATATCTGTTGTAGTTTCCTCTTAACATCCCAAGACTTTTTTACCACAAAAGCATTCCTATGGAAATATTTTCAATTATAAGCATTTACCCATTCTTTATTCAATCAACTCAACTTCTTATTAGAGATTATAGAAGATTCTTGCTTCTCCTCCCATCGTTCCCTTATCTACAGCCTGAATATCTCAGACCTCCAGAGTCAGGTAGTTGGGAGAGGAGCAGGGGAGAATGAAAGGTGTGGAAATTGGTGTGGTGCTGAGTTTTCAGTGTTATTTGTGTGACACGAGGAAGTCACTTAATCTCTCTGGGACCAAGTTTCCCCATTTGCAAATCTCTTATTAGTTCATGTTTTGGAAGGGATGAATTAAGTATACATGCTATCCTTCTTGCCTAAGTCACGAATAACTGGCAAAAAGCCTTTTGTGACATGTATTAGGCACAGCAGTAATGACAAACAGTGCATGCACGCTTACTTAGAAGCTGTAGTCTATTACCCCAAAAAATAGACAGTAATTAGAACAGGTATCATGCTATTATAATAACCTCAATTAACTGCTGGAAAATCCAAAACCCTAAGAAGCAAAGTGATGCAGCTTTGATGTTAAAAAAAAAAAAAAGTGTGTGTGGCGGGAGAAGATTGCAATCAATATCACGAAACAAAACGTATATAAATTGTTGAATGGAAAAACTAATTTGCTATGTAAACTTTCATCCAAACCACAATTAAAAGTTTGAGGAAAAAAATAAAAGCTTTTAGATATAGGAAAGATATTTACAATTCCAGAGAATGTTTTTGTCTTATATATTACACTTGGTGACTTTCTCAAACTCAGAACCTCCTTTATTTGCACATGTACACTTCAACAAATTGGCCTCTCTTAGGTCAGTGGAAATGCACAGTAGTGATACAAGTTTTTCTCTATTCAATTAGTATGTACTTTCTGCTTCTGTTACTATACCTGCTGTATTACTATCATTTCAAACCTTAACCTTATCAAAAGAGTAAGGGTCAAACTTTTTCACTTGGATGGACATCTAAGAAATGCCACAAGCTCAGAGCAGTTTTAAAATATGCAATTCTTAAAATGCTTTTAGCAATTAAAAGAACACATTTGTGTGAAGATTTTTTATTAAAAATTCTACTTTCATATAATGATTTAACTCTTAAGTTGATCAATTAAACTTTAAAGCCGTTTACACTGGCAGCCATGTAATTAAAATTCCAATGAAAGTTTAATGCATTTAAATTTTCATCATTTTTTTATGACTTCACTTACATTTATTTTAAAAAATGTACATCTATTTAGAAGTAAGGGAGCTCTGGTAGCATAGTGCCTAAGGCACTTGACTGCTAACCAGAAGACTGGCAGTTCAAACCCACCAGCCACTCCACGGAAGGAAGATGTGGCAATCTACTTCCGTAGTGATACTGCCTCGGAAACCCAAGGAGGGGTTGCTTTCAGTCAGCACATTACAACAACATTTAGAAGTAAAATTAATCAAATCAAATATATTCACAAATTTGCAACAAGAATATAAATGATTGGCTTACTTATAGTAAGCAAATGTGCATTCCAGAATGTTTCACAAAATGTCTACAATACCCCTTGGATAAAAGTATTATTAACAAAATTTGGGATTGCAGTCTATTAAGAATAATCAAAATTTTCTTTTTTTAAATTTCAATGGACTTAGCTAATAATAGTACCTGATAAAGCAATAATTACTTCAAATTAATGCAATTAAAATGGAATTTTAAAAAGTTTGATAAGTTGATCCATTAAAGTGCAACCATTTTCCATATAATTCTTAAATACTCTGAAAATATTTAGTTTTGAAAATTTAACTTTATAGCATACGTGTACTTGGTGAAAGATTTAAGATTTTCCTTACATCTGCTCTTATTCACAGGCCTTATTAGTAAATATAAAATTTTCATGATGAAATAAAATGTTACAGGAAAACAAAAAGCTTCTGCTTCTAATAGCCTAGTTACATTAAACATAAAGCATTATTTTGGATGTGTTTCTTACAGGTTTAATGAAAAGCTCTGGATTCACAGCTCGAAATAAGGTTGTTGTGCGGACTCCTCTGAGTCCTGGGTTTCGAAAGTCTTTCTCTTTGGGTGAATCCTTTTTAAAGGCTGGGGGCTCAGGTGCTGAAGACATCTTGGGGATGATTACCTAAAAACAAAAGAGGCATTTTTTCCTTCATACTGGTATTTCTTTCATAACACTTGTTAAAAAATCATTCTCTTATTCTTTTTTTAAAAAAATTCTAGGTTAAATATACCAAAAGTGATCATCAAGTTATTTTATTATTGTTTTAAACATACCTTGTAAATGGTGATTTATAGTTTTGCTTTGTAAAATGGTTAATTTATTTTTTACCTCTTAACATAAAACAATGAGGTAGGAAAGGCTGTATTGCTACTTATACAGAAATCTGAAGAATTTTATTGGTCTGAATCAAATTGTATCCTATTATACAAAGGGGATACTAAGGGTATGGAGTTGTCAATGGGTTATCCATATCCTTTTTATTTTCTGTTTTCATTCTTTCTCATATATAAACATGAGGGAAATACTAGCATTCCTTTGCTCAATATATTCTACAGTGTCACTGCCCCAACCCACTCCCCCTTACTCAAATACTCGCAAATACCCCTTACTCCCCCTCGGCCTGTCTCCATTGGCTCACCCAATCACACATGCCAACCAGTGAGGATAACTAGCTATTTGTACTCACTTCCTCTTAGCCTGTCTGTGACTCTCTGGTAAGGATATGCTCCACTCTTCTCCTTAATCTGAATAACCGTTTTTCTCCTAGCTGCTCTCAATCTATCATTCCTATTAAATCTAAGTGTGTCTTTTGTCTCTGGTTCTCCTACCTAGAGTGTTAACATTTTGGGAATATTTTTCTCTTCTAGGTACTACTAGAAACCAAGACCAAAACCAAAACCACTGCCACTGCAAGAAGGCCAACTCAGCCACTCTATTGACATAGAACTGCCCCATAGGGTTTCCAAGGTTATCTTTATGGAGCAGGACTACCATATCTTTCTCCCACAGAGTTGCCGGGTGGTTCGAACTGCCAACTTTTTGGTTAGCAGTTAAATGCTTTAACCATTATACCACCAAGGTATTCTTTAGGTACTACGAGCAAAAGCTCCATCACTCATCAGTCAATTTGTCATACTGTGTGGTTTGTGTGTTGCTGTGAGGCTAGAGGTTACACCACCAGTACTCTGAATACCAGCAGGGTCACACACTATGGACAGGTTTCAGCAGAATTCCAGACTAATACAGACTTGGAAAAAGGACATGGCTATCTACTTCTGAAAGAATTGGCCACTGAAAACATTACACACAGCAGTGAAACACTGTCTGATAAATTACTGGAAAACTTTATGAATAGCCCTGAAACACTGTCTCATATTGTGCTGGAAGATGAGTCCCTCAGGTCAGAAGGTATTCAAAACACAACTGGAGAAGAGCTGCCTCCACAAAATAGAGTCAACCTTAATGACATGGATGGAATAAGCTTTTGGAACTGTCATTTGCTGATAGGGCATGACTCAAAATGGGAAGAAACAGCTGCAAATATTCACTAATACTTGGAACGTGGAATGTATGAAGTATGAATCTAGGAAAATTGGAAGCTGTCAAAATGAAATGTAATGCATAGCGATTCTAGGCATTAGAAAACTGAAATGGACTGGTATTGGCCATTTTGAATCAGACAATCATACTATGCAGGGAATGACAAACTGAAGTGGAATGGCATCACATTCATCATCAAAAAGAATATTTCAAGATCTATTCTGAAGTACAATGCTGTCAGTGATAGGATAATATCCATACACCTACAAGAAAGACCAGTAAATATTATTATTCAAATTTACGCACTAAGCACGAAAGCAAAAGATGAAGAAATTGAAGATTTTTATCAACGTCTGCAGTCTGAAATTGACCAAGCATGCAATCAAGATGTATTGATAATTACAGGTGTTTGAAATACATATGGTGGAAACAAAGGAGAAGCATTGGTAGTTGGAAAATATGGCCTTGGTGATAAAAATTATGTTGGTGATCGCATGATAGAATTTTGCAAGACCAATGACTTATTCACTGCAAATACCTTTTTTCAGTAACATAAATGGTGACTATACACATGGACCTCATCAGATGGAATACACTGAAATCAAATAGACTACATCTGTGGAAAGAGGCAATGGAGAAGCTCAATGTCATCAGTTTAAAAAAAGTCCAGGAGTGACTGTGGAACAGACCATCAACAGCTCATATGCAAGATTAAGCTAAAGTTGAAGAAAATTCAAACAAGTCCACGAGAGTCAAAATATGACCTCAAGCATATCCCACTTGAATTTTGAGACCATCTGAAGAACAGCTCTGACGCACTGAACAAGTGACGGAAGACCAGATGAGTTGTGGGATGACATCAAGAACACCATACATGAAGAATACCATTGTTGTTGTTGTTGTTATGTGCCGTTGAGTCAGACCTGACTCATAGCAACCCCTCCTTGGGTTTCTAAGGCACTATCACTATGGAAGTAGATTGCCCAACCTTCCTTCCGAGGAGTGGCTGGTGGGTCTGAACCGCCAGCCTTCTCGTTATTAGTCAAGTACCTTATAGGCACTATGTTACCAGAGCTCCTAAAGAATACCATACATACATTAAAAAGACAGGAAAGGAAGAAAAGACCAAAATGGATGTCAGAAGAGACTCTGGACCTTGCTCTTGAAAGGAGAGTAGCTAACGCTAAAGAAGAAATGTTGAAATAAAAGAGCCAAACAAAAGATTCCAAAGGGCAGCTCGAGAAGACAAGGTAAAGTATTACAATGAAATGTGCAAAGACCTGAAATCAGAAAACCAAAAGGGAAGAACATGCTTGGAATTTCTCAAACTGAAAGAAGTGAAGAAAAAATTCAAGCCTCGAGTTGCAATACTGAAATATACTATGGGCAAAATATTGAATGATGCAGGAAGTATCAAAAGAATATGGAAGGAATATACAGTCACTGTATTAAAAAGAACTGGTTTACATTCAATCATTTCAAGAGGCAGCATATGATCAAGAATCAATGATATTGAAGGAAGAAGTCCAAGCTGCACTGAAGGAACTGCCAAAAAAACAAGACTCCAGGAATTGACTGAACACCCATTGAGATATTTCAACAAACAGATGCAGTGCTGGAGTGCTTACAAGCCTATGCCAGGAAATTTGGAAGACAGCCACCTGACCAATTGACTGGAAGAGGTATTTCTGCCCATTCCAAAGAAAGGTGATCCAACAGAATGTGGAAATTATCAAACAATTATCATTAATGTCACATGCAAGTGAAATTTTGCTGAAGATAATTTAAAAATGGTTGCAGTAATATATTGACAGGGAGTTTCCAGAAATGCAAGCTGGATTTAGAACAGGACATGGAATAACATCAGTCATTGTTGATGTTAAATGGATCTTAGTTGAAAACAAAGAATAGCAGAAATATATTTGCCTGTGTTTTATTGACTATGCAAAGGCACTTGATTAAGTGGATCATAATGAATTAGGCATAACTTTGCAAAGAATGAGAATTCCAGAACATTTAACTGTGCTCATGAGGTACCTGTACATAGACCAGGAGGCTGTCATTCAAACAGAACAAGGGGATACTGCATGGTTGAAAATCAGGAAGGGTGTGCATCAGGGCTGTACCTTTTCAACACACTTATTCAATCTATATGCTAAGCAAATAATATGAGAATCTGAATTATATAAAGAAAAACACATCAGGCGGAAGACTCATTAACAACCTACGATATGCATATGAGACACCCTTGCTTGCTGAAAGTGTAGAGGACTTGAAGCACTTACTTATGAAGATCAATTACTGCAGTCTTCAGGATGGATTACACCTCAACATACAGAAAACAAAAGTCCTCACAACTAGACCAATAAGCAACATCATGATAAATGGAGAAAAGAGTCAAGTTGTCAAATATTTCATTTTACTTGGATCCACAGTCAACACCCATGAAAGCAGTAGTCAAGAAATCAGACATTGTACTGCACTGGGCAAATTTGCTGCAAAAGACCTCTGGAAAGTGCTGAAGAGCAAAAATGTCACTTCGAACACTAAGGTATGCCTAACCCAAGCCATGGTATTTTCAGTCACCTCATATGCACGTGAAAGCTGGACAATGAACAAGACCAAAGAATCAATGCCTTTGAATTGTGGTGCTGGCAAAGAGTACTGAAGGTACCATAGACTCTAGAAGAATGAACAAATCTGTCCTGGAAGAATTACAGCTGGAATGCTCCTTGGAAGTGAGAATGGCCAGACTTTGTCTCTCATACTTTGGTCATGTTGTCAGAAGGGACCATTCCCTGGAGAAGAACATCATGCTTGGTAAGGTGAAGGGTGAGAAAAAGAGGAAGACCCTCAACAAGATGGATTGACACAGTGGTTGCAACAATGGGATCAAGCATGCCAAGGATTGTGAGGATGGTGCAGGACCAGGTAGTGTTTCGTTCTGTTGTGCACAGGGTCGCTATCAGTAGGAACTGACTCAACGGCAACTAACAACAGGCAAATCCTTATTCTTCTCATTCCTGTTACCTAAAGCTGAGGGGAGAAACATTCCAAAGGATGAAATTAAAGACAATGAAATTATTTGAGGGAAATGCTGCACTCTATTACAATAATGTTTTGAAGTTAAGAGTCAAATATTCAAATTTAAACATTCTGACAAATTCTTCAATGGAGCTTTGTTTACACAGGTATTCTTTATTCCTTAAACCTTCCATTTTAAGAACTTTCAAAAGCAGTACTTTTGTACTTCATTAGTTATGGAGAATACTGGGGGTTCAGCTTTTCAAAACAGTTCATGTTGTAGTGGTCATGATATATTCATCTATGCCACTGAATTGAATAAATACATTATCAGGAATATCTGCTTGGGTGGAGAGGAATCTCCAGATACCTTCTACACTTGTCAGGGCTTCTGAAAAGGTACCTGTTGGCTTTGACATCAATTGTTTCCCATGGATGTGATGGTCATCATTGTGATCACCATCATCATCACTTTCTGGTACCATTTTGACATGTTAACACCACTGTAGCAATTTCAGTATTCTCTCATTCTTGAGAAATAG